CATCATCATCAGCAGCAGCATCAGCATCTGCACCATCAGCAGCATCATCAGCAGCATCATCAGCATCAGCAGCATCATCATCAGCTGCAGCATCATCATCATCATTACCAGCAGAATCATCAGCATCAGCATCGTCATCATCATCACCACCACCATCATCACCACGAGCATCATCATCATCACCATCATCAGCATCATCATCAGCACCATCATATTCAGCATCATCATCAGCATCAGCATCAGCATCATCATCATCGTCATCATCATCAGAATCATCATCATCAATTATCAGCACCAGCATCATCAGCAGCAGCAGCATCAGCATCAGCACCATCAGCATCAACATCAGCATCAGCATCATCATCAGCAGCATCAGCAGCATCATCAGCAGCAGCATCAGCAGCAGCATCAGCATCAGCATCAGCATCAGCATCATCATCATCATCAGCATCCTCATCATCAGCACCATCAACATCATCATCATCATCATCATCATCGTCGTCATCATCATCATCATCCTCATCCTCATCCTCGCTCTACTCCTCCCCCGTCCTTGCAAACATCCCGAGAAGGACTTGGCGCGGTACCGATGATCTCTTTGAACAATGGGGTCTGCGAGAGTGACAGGCTCAAACACCGGACCAGAACAACAATGGAGATGCCCAGTCGCTATAGGCCCGTCGTTCTAACACTCCTCACACTCCGTCTCCTCCAGCTCACCCTCTGCCTCCTCGTAACCCTCCTCCTTTTCCTCCTCTTCCTCCTCTTTCTCCTCTTCATCCTCCTCTGCTTTTGTGGCAACTCATGGAATCCTCCTATGTCATCTTGCTTCCTCTTGCGGATCGGCACGAAGCGACGCTTGTCGACGCTAAGTTGACTCAAAACCGACGCTGAATGGACGCTTTCTCATCGAGTACCAAACGCTAGCGCACGCTAGTGCACTCTGAAGATAGAACTTCGAGGACATCAAAACCAGATCATCTCCCCCCTCCTCACCCCTCCTCCGCGCGGGCGGGGCGGCCCACAGCTCTGAATGCAAAGACTCCCAAGAGCGAACGGTGACGCGAAAAGCCCTTAACGCCAAGGCTCCCAAGAGCGAACGGTCACGTGAAAAAAACTATGAACGCAATGGCTCCCAAGAGCGAATGGTGTCGTGAACCCTATCGGGCAAGTTCCTGAAGCGCCCCTTCCGTTCCCATGCTGGCCCAGGTCCCCGGTCGCCGTAGGTCCGTCGTTCTAACTCTCCTCCTCCTCCTCCTCCTCCTCATCCTCCTCCTCCTCCACCTGCTCTTCCTGCTCTTCCTGCGTTTCCTTCTCCTCCTCCTCCTCCTCCTCCTCCTCCTCCTCCTCCTCCTCCTCCTCCTCCGCCTTCTCATTCATCCTCCTTCTCCTCCTCCTCCTCCTCCTCCTCGCGCGGGCGGGGCGGCCCACAGTCCCCCCGGCCGGATGATGGCAGCGATCGTGCGGATGTCCGCTGGCCCCAACCCCCCGGGGCAACGAGGAGGGCGGGCCATGAGGGCAGGGAGGAGCAGGGAGGGGATGATGATGAGGAGGAGGAGGAGCAGGAGGGAGAGGGGGAGGGGGAGGAGGATGGAACCGAATGGAAAATAATAGCATTGAATGGAAGAGAATAGAACCGAATAACATCAAAATGAAAGTTATAGAAAAGAAAAGAGTAGAGTAGAGTAGCGTATAATATAACAAAATATAATATAATGGAATAGGATAGGATATAGTAGGTTATATCAAATAACTATAAAGGGATGATAGAAGAGAACAGGACAAGCTAAAATATAACATAAAAGAGTAAGTTAACCACATAGAATAATACAGAATAACATCGGATATCACATAATATAACAATATAGAATAGAATAGAATAGAATAGAATAGAATAGAATAGAATAGAATAGAATAGAATAGAATAAAATAAAATTGAATAAAATTGAATAGAATAGAATAGAATAGAATAGAATAGAATAGAATAGAATAGAATAGAATAGAATAGAATAGAATAGAATAGAACAGAACCTAATAGAACATTATGGAATAGAAAATAATAGAATAGAATAGAATAGAATAGAATAGAATAGAATAGAATAGAATAGAATAGACATCGAATCGACCATCATATTATTTGATAGAAGAGAATAGAAAAGAATAGGATAACATAGAATCGACCACAATCGAATTATACATAATGTACTAGACTAGAACAGAACATCATATAATAGAACCGACTAGATTAGACCAGACTAAACTAGACTAGACTAGACTAGACTGGAGTAGAATAGAAGATAAGAGAAGAGTATATAATAGGTTCGAATAGAACAGAAAAGAATAGAAAAGACTAGGGTATAGCAGAATATAACGGGATAAAACAGAATATAACAAAATATAATAGAATGAGCTATAACATAATAGGACAGAATGAAATAGTATGTAACCGACTCGACTAGACTAGAATATGCAAGAATAGAAGTGCAACCCATGTAATACAATAGAAAAGAATAGAACAGAACAGCATTGAGCATAATAAAATCGAGTATACTATGATAGAGTAGAATGGACTGTATTATAATAGAATAGAACAATATATACTAGACCAGAAGAGAATACCATACAATGAATAAAACATAATATAATATAGTATAAAAGAACGGAGTACTATATAATAGATGGAACAGAAAGGAATAGAACAGAAGATACTAGCACAGAACATAATAGACTAGAATAGAATAGAATATGATGGAACATTATGGGCTAGACTGGAATAGAAAAGAATAGGAATTTATATAATAGAATAGGATAGAGCAGTCTAGAATCGAACATAACAACATAGGAAAGGATCGGATAGGATCGGAGAGGATAGGATAGGATTGGATAGACGACACTAGACTAGACTAGGCAAGAACAGACTAGGAAAGAACAGCATATCATAGCAAACCAGAGCATCGCATACACTGGAATAGAACTTAATAGAAGATAACAGCATCGAGTATAATAAACTACACGTTCATATAATAGAACGGAAGAAAAGATTATATAACAGAACAGGAGATCCTATATTAGAACACAATATAGAATAATAGACTAAAGTCGAACAGAACATATATACATATATATATATATATGTATATAAGCACAAAATGGAACATTGAAAAATACTACAAGGTATAGAAATGACTAGCAGCATTGAGTTCCATAGAACAGAACGTACTACAGCAGACTAACCTGGAATAGAAAAGAATCTAACAGAATATTAAAGTGGAATAGAACCGAATGGACTTGAATGGACTTGACCCGAATAAAAACAAAGCAAAAGAGGATACAATATAATAGAATAGAACAAATTGAGCTGGAATAGACTAAAATTGAATGGAGTACACTAGACTAGAAACAGGTAATATAATGGAAAGCAATGGGATGTAATCTAGCACATAAGAAAATAAGTTGTAATATATTAAAAACCAGATGACACATAAAACAGTGGAACATACGATAAGATATAACCTAATAGAAAAGAAAAGAAAAGACCATAACTTGTGTTATGTATGTGCTATTGATTACATTTGTTGAACATAAAAAATACCCGTCCTCCATCCGAAAGAACTGTCGAAAACGCTTACGATGCATGTGCGCGGTGTTAAGGCGACTATCAAATATTGAAAACGAACCGCCCTCCATCCGTGAAAATCCTGCAAACTGTTAAGACGAATGCGCGCAGCGCTGAGGCAAGAGCCACATTATGAAAAGGAGCCGCCGTCCATCCGTGAGACTCTTGTACACTGTAACACGGATACATGCGGCGCTAAGGCGATAGCCACATTTTGAAAACGGGCCGCCCCTCCATCCGCGAATATGCTACAAATTCTGAGCTTCATGCTCATGAGCGCTGAGGCCATATCAGGCGAAACGCCTGGGCCACCCTACCACCACGACTCGGGGTGCGACAGGGAGTTCTTTATCAGGAACAGTAATGGAGGAGGAGCGGGGAAGGGGAGGAGGACGAGGAGGAGGGGGAGGAGGGGGCTCAGACCGAAAGAAGAGCAGTCCGAACGCACGCCTGGCCCAATCCACCGCCGACTGGCTCCGGCCACGGGAGGGGTCTGCAGCAAAGAGCGAGCGGAGCGGAGTGCGGCTGGCACGAGGGTTAAGAAACACCCGAGCTTTGGATCGGGTGCGTACCCTTATGTTCTCCGCGTTTGGGCCATCCCCCTTGGAATGGCCGTCGGTTCGGGTGTCTCTATGGGGGGGCTTGTGCCCGCGTCCTGGCCTTACCTCGACTGTGCCGTCAGGCCCGCCTCTGGGGAACGGACAATGGAGTTTTGAGCCCGAGCAAGGTCTCTCGCAGTGAATATATACAAGGAAGCTGGAAACATGCGTGACGATAAACGGCCGAGCGCTCGAGAGACATCGGGGCCACATGCTTACCAAACTTTCGCCCAGACCGCGTCATGCGTATCCGGGTTGCTGATAGATTGCGAAAGGCATCGAGGAAGGGCGAAGCGAGACCGAGGCCGACGAGAGGGTCCGGGGGAAGACCGTGCCGTGGACGTTGGGGGACAAGCCAGAGCAGACCAGGGCAGCGCGCGTAACGACAGGAGTCATCGCGCGTGTCCTTGCAGCCCGGGAGGCAGCCGAGCTGGCGGGAGCGGCACACGTGGTGTCAGTGGCCCGGCTGCCAGGAGAGGGGGAGATGCATGTGCAAGGTGCTTCGCTATTCCTCTCCCCTCCCCCCTCTCCCCAAGGGTCCTCGAAATCCAATTTTCGGGGGGAGGGGGGGGGCAGGAGGACAAGAACAGTGCACATCGGCGGCGAGCGAGGGGGGGCCGTGAGAAGGAGAAGGCCTTCTCAGAAGGCGGCGGGACCTCTCAAAAGCCCTCGCGCCTTCTGAAAAGTTGTTTGCGTTTTCGGGGAAGGCTTACAAACCCGTGCGAAAAGCAACTGGCGTTCTTTCTACACGCACGCACACACAATTTCAACGTTGAATGCGGTGCCGATTTGTTTTTTGAACTTTGCCGGGCGCACGGTCAACATTGAAATGGGGAGTTGCCTTTCGCACGGGGTTGCAAGAGGCATCTCCGCCGGCCGGGGGACTTCCGAGCCTCCCGACAAGGCCCGCCCCTCCTCGCTTCCCCCCCTCGCTCGCTGCCGAGCTAAGAGGCACGGGGCCTGGCCAGCCCCATCCCAAGCCCAGAGGGCCGGTGCATGCGCCCTCCTGGCCTGGCCCGGGTGTGGGGATACGAAGAGGTACCGATACCGCTCCTCCCCGGACCTCTCCCGGGGTGCGCTCGGACCAGAATGAGGCGAATCCAGCGGTGGCGGCGAGGGCCTCCCAGGAGGCCCAGAAATGGGAGAACGGGCCACAGACCCAGACCCCTGACGTCATGATTTTTTCATGACGTCGACCCCAAAGGTTTCGACCTGTTTCCCGGGACCGGTGTTTCATCCTGAGTCGGTTTTTGACGGCCCCGAGGCCCGGTAAGGGCCCCGAGATGCCGAAAGTCGTGCAAAGCCTCCCGTCGTGATTTCTTCATTGCTCGAGGGGGTCTGGGGAGGGGGGAGGGTGAGGGGCACCTGTCCCTTCTCGGAGGGTGAGGCCCGGCCCGGGTCGGCAGGGCGCGCCCCTGCTCCTCGCCGCCCCACACGGGGGGGGGGGGGCGGGCGGGCGGGCGGGCGGCGCGCCCCCCCGCCGACCCCCCCGCGCCCCCTCCTGGGCTCTCGGGGCGGGGCGGCGCGGGCCCCTCGGGCTAGAGGAAGATGTTCTTCGCCGTGTCGATGAAGAACGGCGTGAGCACGGCGTCCCACTCGCCCTGGCAGTGGCTCCCCGGACCCCCGGCGTCATGATCTGTGCATTGCGTCGGCCCCCCGAGGTCTGAGCCTCTTCCTCCCCAGGACTAGGCTCTTCGCCTCGAGTCGATGTTTGACGGTCCCGAGGCCCGGTAAGGACCCCCAAGGAACGAAAACAGCGAAAAACCTCTTTCATGCTTTCTCTTCTTGCTCGAGGAGGGCTAGGTCGGGCGCGGCCAGCAACAACAAAAAACGGCCCCGTCCCGCGGCCGAGCCCCCTCTAGCCCGAGGACTCCGGCCGCCTGCCCACGCGGAGCACAGCGCGCGAGAGGGAGCCGTCGCCGAGGGGGTCCCAGACCTCCGCCGTCGCTGGCGCTCTCGGCACGAGGTGCGGGCGGGTGGTTAGGGGGGGGGGGTAGATAGAGGAGCCTTCTAGGGCCGCTTTTGGGCACCAACTGTTGGGCCCTTTTGGGCCCTTTAGGAGCCCTTTTCTTCATCGCCCATGTTCCACCGAGGGGGTCCCAGACCTCCGACGTCCTGGCGCTTGCGGTACGAGGTTCGGGCGGGTGGTAAGGGGGGGGGGGCCCACGAAGGTGGGTGGAGGAAAAGGGCCCTAAAGGGACGCCCTTTCCCTGGAAGGCCCCTCTTGGGCACCGACTGGCTCCGAAAGGGGCCCTCAAGTCCCCCTTAAAGGGCCCTTTTCCTCTCCCCCCACCTGGGTCCCCCCCCCTTGCCACCCGCCAGAGAGGCCCCCCGAAGCTCTGAACTACTTCCTGGGGGACGACGCCCTCGCCCCAGAGATCCAGCTCTGGCGCCCCGGGAGCCCGGCGAGGGCCCCCAGACGCCGAAGGCCACGAAGACCTGCGTCCTGCCCTCTTCCATTTGGGCGCCCGAGTGATCCGGGGTACCTCGGGTCCGGGGTAGCACGGGCTTAGATTCCCGAAAAACGAACCCGAGTTAGCCCTGACCCGAGTTACCCCTGATGATTCGGAGCTCTGATCCATGCATGGGAGGTCTGGGGTGGGTGTGCCAGGGGGCCGCTGGGGCCGCCCGTGACTCGCCGCCTCGGGCGGGGCGCTGGACGGGAGGGGGGGGGCAGCGACTGCGGCCCGCCCCCCCGGCCTCGACGGGCGCCTGCTCTGAGAGCTCCCGGCGCACACCAGCGCCCCGAGAGAAGAGAGGCCACGGGCGCTTCGCCCGGCACGCCGGCCTCTGCGCACCTGCCAACCACGAGAGCCGACGTCTTGGTTGTCCAGCACGGGGTCTCTGGAAGCCCCGGCCCCTTCCCTGGGCCCGGCTTTTCATCCTGAGTCGTTTTGGGACGGTTCTGGGGCCCGGCGAGGGCCACCAAAGGACAAAAATCCGCCGACCGTCGGCGTGTGGAATGGGTTGTTCTTCTCGTCCGTGCCTCCTTCCCTTTCCCACCTTCTCCGTCTCCTTCTCGTTTGTCTCCTCCTCCTCATCATCCTCCTCCTCCTCCGCCTCCTCCTCCTCCTGACACACTTCCTCCGCCTACCCTGTCACGTTGTCCTTTAGCTCCTTCATGTGATCACACATCCCGTGGCCATCGACGGCCAAAAACTTCAGGGTCGGCGGCACTGGCCGTAAGGCCTTCACAATCATGGAACTCCTCCGTCCTGATCGTTTCGATGCGTTGGAGGTCTGCGAAGTGCCCCGCCCTCCCCCCCCCCGCGAGGGGTCGGGGCCGTGAGATGCGACGACGCGGAAACGTTGCGACACGGTGACAAAGCCACGACCAGAGCACCGGGCCCCATTTTTCTGCTGCACCTGTCGAGACAGATCGATCTACGAGGGCCCCCCGAGCCCCGAAATGAACGTACGAAAACGCGCGAAGGCGACGACAGACCCTCGACAACATGGTCCCTTTCCTCACGTCGACACACAAACAGATCTCCCAGGACGAGGTTTTCATCCCGAGTCGTTTTGTTGACGGTCCCGAGGCCGGGTACGGGCCTCCAGGGGCTGGAAGTCTGCCACCGTGCCCTTGGGCACAGAGTGGACGTGTCCTGAGGTCCTTTGCCTATCCTCTGAACCTCAGACCCTATCGGGCGGGTCGGGCGGGCGGACCCGATCGGGCGGGTCGGGTCGGGCGGGCGGGACACTAAAGTCTGATGCGTATAAACCATGACACATGAACACCCTAACGGGCGGGTCGGGACGGGCGGACCCTATCGGGCTGGTCGGGCGGACACTATCGGGCGGGTCGGGTCGGGCGGGCGGGACCTCACTCCTGAGGATTCCTTACGGGACCCGGACCCCTCACTCTCACATCTCTCAGGGCGTCTCGCGCCTTATCGCGTCTTGTCGCGCGACTGCTTCAGAACCAAGAGGGCTCCAAGACAGGCCAACAAGGCCCTAAGAGCCCCTCAAGAGTGTCCGAGAGTGCCCCGACTCGCCAAAGATCGTTCCAAGACGACCAAGATGGCCTCAAGATGGCTCAAGAGGCCTTCGAGACGCCCCAAGAAGCCTCCAAGGGACCTCCAAGAGGCCTCCCAAAAGGGCCCCAAGAAACATCGTAAGTTCACCTCCGGTTTTTGAAGAGATTGGCGCTTCTCGTCTTTTCAGCGTCCCGATGCTCCACGATGGCCAAAGAGGGCCCGAGCCCACCCCAGGACGGCCCAGGAGGCCTCCAAGAGGGCCCCAGCACTGCCTAAGAGCGCAAAAAGACGGCCCAAGAGGCGCCCCAAGACGGCCCGAGGGGGCTCCAAGACGACCCAAAAAAGGGGCCCAAGAAAGGGAACACTAACGCGAAACACGCGGCACGTCGCGTCGACACGGAGCTCAGCACGCAGACTGAGCACCTCCTCCTCCTCCTCCTCCTCCTCCTCCTCCTCCTCCTCCTCCTCCTCCTCCTCCTCCTCCTCCTCCTCCTCTTCCTCCTCCTCCTCCTCCTCAGGTTCGCGCCGTCGGATCTCAGAGCGAGCGAGGGGGGAGGGACGGGAAGCTGTGGAGGGGACGAGGGGCCGGTCATAGTACAGACTGGGCGAGCGCCGAGTGAGGAAGGAGAGTGCTTCTCTGGCACAGCGAGCCTCGGCCACGAAGGGGCGCCCCGACCTGGACTTCAGTCGGGCATGTCCCTCTACAGGAGGAGCATTCAAAAATCATCCAAAAATGGTCTGGGGACGATGTTGCTTTTGTTTTGTACTGTTTTTGAATATGTTTGACGATCTTGTTACATGTTTCTCCAGAGCCCGCCGGTAGGAGGACACGCCCGACATAAACCTGGACCAGAGCCCCTCCTGCACCCGAAGCGGTGCGCACCCGGACCCCCGTCGTCGTGAGCTTCTCGCAACAACCAAGATCCCCCCGAGCACTGAGAAAATCACGACGGGAGGTTTGCCGCAATTTTCGGCCTCTGGGGAGGAGGAGGAGGAGGAGGAGGAGGAGGAGGACCATTACTGGGCCTCAGCACCGTCAAAAAGCGACTCAGTATGAAAAACCCGTCCCGGGGAACAGGGCGAAACCTCTGGGAGTCGACGTCGTGAAAAAATCATGACGTCGGGCGCCTGGGGAGACCCCCAAAGGTCAGACCCCTTCCCTGGGACCGGCTCTTCATCCTTAGCCTTTGGGTGACCCACAATGGGGTCCAGCTGAAAGGGGGTAGAGCAATATATTTGGGGCAATTGTACTGCAAAGGTATTGCGCCAGAGAATTGTCTTGCATTGTATGGCAAGTAATGCATTGCACGCGAAAATACAGCAATACGTTTGCGCCCCGACGTGAAGTGCACGCCCCAAATGTATAACCCCACAAATCTATTGCACCAAATCTGTTGCACCAGCCCCTTGTCGCTGCACTCCCTTTTGGGTCAACCCGAGAGCCGCTTTGTTGAAGGTCCCCAGGGTCCAGCAAGGGCCTGCCGAGGCCGCCAAAAAAATCGCGACAAGCCCTCTCCGCGCCACGTTCTGTCTTCACGAGGCGGACGGGGTCTGCGTATTTAGGCGCCTGGAGGAGGACTGGCCACAGGAGAGGATGTGGAGGAGGAGAACAATGATCGTGTGGGGAGCAAGGCGTTTGAAGAACGAAGTGCATGAGGAGCCCGACATACGAAAACCCTCGAGTTCCGGTACTGTCTTGGTCTGGTGATCAAGGCTACAGCAGGTTGGAACATCATAAAGGATACCCTCATTTCTCCCAAGTCCATCCTCCCAAACCCGAGGTCTGTCTTCCTGCGAGGAGCGGGGGCTGCACCCAACCTTGCGTGGACTCCTGTCCATGCAAAACCACAGAAACGGCGAGCGACAAACGAAATGAATGTCACGCGGATTTTTTTCAAGTCTTCATTCCGGGCCAAAGCAGATCCGCGCGAAACTCACTTCGAAGCCCGGAACGAAATTCCCCAGGACACTCCGGGCCCATCCTACTGTTTTCCGACCAGAATCCGCTCTGTGATGCTGGCGCCATGAGAAGGGGGCCAGCCCCGGGCTGGCCGTCTGCGCTCCGTACACCTCCACGAACTCGCCGGCGGCCATGGAGAAGCCGTGGTGCGCGGTGAGCACGTCGGAGGGGCAGACGTCCGGGATCCGCACCGGGCGCAGGTGGTCGGCGCTGCCCCTCCGGCCGGCGAAGCACTCGACGAAGGGGTAGATGACGTGCTCCTCACGAGCGGCGAGCGCATCCACATCTACGCCGGCTCCATATCGAGCGACGAGAGGTCGGGCCTGTCCCCCGACAGTCCGATTTTCGAGGCAGAATAAAGATGGACAAAAGATATTTTAAACATGTAGGAAAATACTAAAAAAGAAATAGTCCCCAGACGATGGTTTGACTATTTTTGCATATTCCTCCTGTAGACAGGCCCGACTTGAGGATATGGACGTGTTTCCCGCCCACCGGCTCCAGCGGCCCCGCGGTCAGATTCAGGATCCACTGGTTCGCCAAGATCATGTGGTACGAGAACTCGTTCCCCTCGGCAGGGTCAGCCAGCGTTAAGTCGGGCGTGTCCCCCTACAGGGAGTTTTCGACGAAGAACAGAAAGTACTCAAAAAATACTCCGAAATGCTCAACAACAAAAAAAAGGCCCCTGACTATTTTCTTGATATTTTTTGAATATTCCCCCTGTAGAAGGACATGCCCGACGTAAAGCCAGCATCGGAGCGCGAAGCTCCATCGGATCGGAATGTGCGTCGGATCAGGCCGCATCCGCACGGAGTGGGTGCCGAGTCGGATCGGCCGCGCCAGGATGCACGACAACGCCATGCAAGCATCACGCCGCACCGGACCGTCGGAATACGGTGATGGCATCGATTGAGAAACCATTGGATGAGGAATCCAGGGTCTCAAAGCTGGCGGAACACAAATTGCGGCTTGGCAATGGGTATCACCGCCGCCCTCGCCACGCAACGAATCTTCCAGGGTCGGAAGCCTCTGGGGCACATGTTTTCGCGAACGCCCCCACCGTACCAGAATCGAATCGGATCGATCGGACCGAAGCCCACACATCCAGCGTCACGATTTGTTCGAGACGCTGGCCCCCCCAGACCTTTCGACCGCTTCCCCGAGATCGGCGTTCCATCACCCGCTGGTTTCAATACTGTTTGGATTGATATGCTGCCCCCTGTATGGGCTGCCGCTGTAGCTCAACCTTCCAGTACGCCTGCCGACCAATTTTGCCGACCACGCTGCCCACTCCTCGTCCTCCTCCTCCTCCTCCTCCCCCTCCTCCTCCTCCTCTTCCTCCTCCTCCTCCTCATCGTCCTCCTCCTCCTCCTGCTTCTCCTCCTCCTGCTCCTCCTCCTCCTGCTCCTCCTCCTCCTGCTCCTCCTCCTCCTCCTCCAGAAGCCGAAAACTAAGAAAAAACCTCTGTCTCGCTGTTGTCGAGACGCCGGATGTCTGGGCTCTCGGAGGCCCGCACGGACTGCTCGGACTGCCGCTGGACCCCCCGCCCCCTCCTCAGGGCGCGCGCTGCGCGCCGAGGGGCGGCGCCGGAGGCGCCGCCAGGGGGGGCCCAGCGCCGATCCAGGAAAGCCGCACACACCTCCCCTGAGATCCGACGTTGCGAAGAAAGGCAGCGCCGCGAGGAGCCACGACGGGATCAAAACTCCGTCTCGGCTTTTTTAGAGGCCTCCTAGATGGGGTGCGAGGAGATTGGGTCGGAGGATCGCGCCGCATCGCCGATGCATCGGCAGTGCCTCGGCGATGCATTGGCGATGCACTGGCGATGCATCGTCGACGTCGGCGACGCATCGGCGACGTCAACGTGAAGCAAATCGGGCTCCGCATCGAGCCGCATCGGCGATGCATCGGCGATGCGGCGCGATCCTCCGACCCCATCTGCTCCGACCCCATCTGGGAGGCCTCGATTTGTCAAGGCGCCATATAGATGCCTGCGATACATTACTTGCAATTCATTACCTGCTATACAATGCAATACAAGTCTCCGGCGCAATACATTTGCAATACAATTGCCCCAAATCTATGGCACAACCCCCTTTCAGCTGGACCCCCTTTTGGGTCACCCAAACTTGTTCAAGGCGCCAGAGATGCCTGCGATATCGAATAGGAGCGATATCAATATCGATCGATATCGAGATGCCTGCGATATCGAATCGGAGCGATATCGGGCCGCAGGTGGTCCCCGCCTCGGCCGCGTAGCCCATCGCCGAGGCCTCGAAGGGCAAGCGCCCGAGCCCAGAGCCAGGGCAGAGGACCTGAGGACAGCACAACCCACCCCCACGCCCAGCCAGGACCCCTCCTCCTCCTCCTCCTCCTCCTCCTCCTCCTCCTCCTCCTCCTCCTCCTCCTCTCCTCCTCCTCCTCCTCCTGCTCCTCCTCCTCCTCCTCCTCCTCCTCCTCCTCATTCTCCTCCTCCTCCTGCTCCTCCTCCTCCTCCTCCTGCTCCTCCTCCTCCTCCTCCTCTTCCATTCCTTCTCCTTATTGTCGCACCCCGAGGCCAGTTTTTAGGGCGGGCTGGGCGTTTCGCCTGAGACTTCCTCATCATGTATGGCCCTGAAGCTTTCAAAGTGGCAACAGTTTCACAAATGGAGGGCGAGCCGCTTTCAAAATGTGGCTCTCGCCTTAGCGCCGTGCACATTCGGTTTTAAACATTCGCAAGAGTTTGACGGATTGAGGGCGGGTGGCTTTCAAAATGTTGCTCTCGCCTTAGCGCCGCGCACATTCGTCGCACAACTTTGCAAGAGTTCACGGATTGGGGGCGGATGGTTTTCAAAATGTGGCTCTCGCCCTAGCGCCGCGCACATTCGTTTGAAAAAAGTGCCGCGAGCTTCACGGATTGAGGGCGGATGGTTTTCAAAATGTGGCTCTCGCCTTAGCGCCGCGCACATTCGTTCTTGGAAATTGCAAGAGGTTCACGGATTGAGGGCGGGTCATTTTCAAAATGTGGTTCTCGTCTTAGCGCCGCGCACATTCGTTTAAAGAAACTCCAAGAGTTACACGGACTGAGGGCGGTTCCTTTTCAAAATGTGGTTCTCGCCTTAGCGCCGCGTGCATTCGGTTTAATTGCAAGAGGTTCACGGATTCCCATGGTCAACGTACCAGAAATGCGTTTCGGAAGGATTCAAGATTATGCGGGCGCATCAGTTATGTTGATTCGCCGTGTCGAAGTCCCAAAAATGGCGTTCTGGCACGACTCAGGATCGTCAAGACGCAGCAGTCAGGTCGACACGAGGCGTTGAAATCTCGAGAACAATGTTTTGGCACACTTCAGAATCTTCAAGCGGTTGTCCCACAACGAGGCAGTTCCCTCAATGGAAATGAACCGTTGTAGAGGCCTATGAAGAGGGGGCATGGCGGGAGGGTTAATTCCAACATCGTTGATGACTCTTGGGTTTCCACTGGTCCTCCTCCTCCTCCTCCTTATCCGCCTCATCCGCCTCCTCCTCCTCGTCCTCCTCCTCCTCCTTTTCCTCCTCCTTTTCCTCCTCCTCCTCCTCCTCCTCCTCCTCCTCCTCCTCCTCCCTCCTCCTCCTCCTCCTCCCTCCTTCTCCTCCTCCTTTTCCTCCTCCTCGTCCTCCTCCTCCTCCTCCTCCTCCTCCTCCTCATCATCATCATCATCATCATCATCGTCATCAGCATGATCATCATCGTCATCGTCATCCTCATCATCATCGTCATCATCATCATCATCATCATCATCATCATCATCATCATCATCATCATCATCATCATCATCATCATCATCATCATCCATCATTGTCATCATCATCATAATCATCATCATCATCCTCCCCCTCATCCCTCCTCCTCCTCCTCCTACCCCTCCTCCTCTTCCCCCTTTTCCTCCTCCTCCTCTTCCTCCTCCTCCCCACGTCATGCAAAAATCACGACGCACGGTTTTGGACATTTTCAGCCTCGTGGGGGCCCTTACTGGGCCTGGGGGCTGTCAGAATCGACGCGAGGACGAAAAGACTGTCTCGGGGAATGGGTCGAGACCTTGGACGGTCGACGTAATCAGAAATCATGTCGTCAGGGGTCTGAGGACCTGGTAATCCAGGGGGTCCTGACTGGGAGGGGGGATCTTCGGCCCCGAAAACCATAAAAGCCCTTCCCCCCCGCAAAGACCCCCTGGATTACCGGGTCGGGATTCTGGCTGGGGGCCCAGACCCCCGACGTCATGCTTTTTTCATGACGTCGACCCCCAAGGAGGTTTCGACCGATTCCCCGAGACCGGTTTTTCAGCCCGAATCATGTCTTGACGGCCCCCAGGCCCGGTACAGGCCCCCAGAGGCCGAAAATGGCGAGAAACCTCCTGTCGCGATTTTGTCGCAACGCGAGGGGGTCTGTAGAAGGGGGGGGTTCTCGCTGGCCAGGGGGGCGGGACTGGAGGCCTCCTAGATTTGTGGATGCCACGACAATGGACACTCTAACAGTCCTATCATTGAATTTAACATGTGTTGAAAATGTGTAAAACATGTTCTAAAAATGTTTCAAACACGTTTTAAACATATTTAAAACAGATGTGAAACATCTTTTAAACATCTGGGAATTATTTGGCAGCATGTTTCCTCTCCATTAACCAACTTCCACAATCCTAGGTGGGGTCGGAGTAGATGGGATTCGCCGATACATCGGCGACGCCAGCGTGGAACAGGACGGGCCCCACACCGAGCCGCATCGGCGATGCATCGCCGATGCGGCGCGATCCTCCGACCCCGTCTGCTCAGGAGGAGGAGGAGGAGGAAGAGGAGGAGGCGGAGGAGGAGGAGGCGGAGGAGGAGGAGGAGGCGGAGGAGGAGGAGGAGGAGGAGGGAGGAGGAAGGAGGGAGGCCCAGAAGGACGCGGTGCCCGCAGGACCCGCGTCCACGGGGCGTCCTCGGACCACTCCTCCGGCAGGGGCAGGTGCCGGACCAGGGCGCCGAGCAGCGGCTCCCCCGGGGAGAAGAAGAGCCGCACAGGCACGCGCTCTCGTCGGAGGTCTGGGCTCGGGCAGCGCCGAGCCGAGCCCAGTAGGGGAACAAAAAGTGACATAAACATAAAAAAACTCGGAGGTCCGCGCGGATTTCTCGGATTGGCGCTGGGTCCCCCCGGCGGCGCCTCCGGCGCCGCCACTGGCGCGCTCCGCGCGCCAGGGAGGGGGGTCTAGCGCCGATCCGAGAAATCCGCGCGGACCGCCGTGTTTTTATGTTTATGTCACTTTTTGTTCCCCTACTAGGCTCGGGCAGCGCCGAGGACCCCGACCCCCTCGGGCAGTGAAGAAATCACGACGGGAGGTGCTTCGCCACGTTCGGCCTCTGGGGGCCCTTCCCGGGCCTCGGGGCCGTCCGAAAAGGGCTCGGGACGAAAAGGCGGGTCCTGGGGAAGGCAGGCTTCGGAGAAAACAGCGAGCACTCATGCCACATTCATCTCATCTGTCAAGGCCTCCCCCTCCCCCCAATGTTCAACAGTGGAGGTGGGCCTGATGAGTTGCACCTCGACCGCAGTCTCCCCCGCGCGTGCCAACTTTGAGTCTGGGGGAGGGGGAGTGTTCAGTAGTTGTTTCCCCATGGGGGTCGACGTCATCAAAAAATCACGACGTCGGGGATCTGGGGACCTGGCCGTGTGGGCGAGGAAAACCCCGCCGCCTGGGTCTCGCGCAGGTGGAGCGCTGCGCGGCGCACAACCAGCCCAAACCCCCGGCGTCGTGATTTTCGTTCGAAACGTCGACCCCCAGAGGTCTGGACCCCTTCACGGGGACCGGTTTTTCATCCCGAGCCGTTTTTTGACGGCCCTGAGGCCCGGGAAGGGCCCCGGAAGCCGAAAATGACGAAAAACCTCCCGTCGAGAATGGTTCGCAGCGCGAGGAGGTCTGGGAGCGGTTCCTGAGATCGACTGCCCAGACCCCCTCGCGTCGCGAACTGAAAGTCACGACGGAGGCTTTTTGTCGCCCCTGTGGGTGCCCTCGGCGGGCCCCTGTGGGACCGTCAGACAACGACTCGGGGCTTTTGTTGGGGGCGTCTCTGGGAGTCTCTGGGGGGGCCTCTTGGGGGGTCCAGGGGGTTCCGCTTCCTGGAAGAGCTGGCGACCCAGACATCCGGCGTCCCCACCTGTTTCTCAAGGCACGGGCCCTCGTGGTTTCTCATCCCCAGCCGTCTCGTTGACAGCCCCGAGGCTCGGCTTCGCGCCCCCAGGACCGTCACGGATCGAGGAGGCTCAAAAAAAACGCTGAAAGGCGGGGGAGTCTGGTCGTGAGGAGCTCTCGAGGCGCCACATCTTCTTCGCAACGTCGGATCTCAGGGGAGGCGTGTGCGGCTTTCCTGGATCGGCGCTGGGCCCACCCTGGCGGCGCCTCCGGCGCCGCCGCTCGGCGCGCAGAGCGCGCTCGGGAGGCGACGGGGGGCCCAGCGCCAGTCCGAGCAGTCGGTGCGGGCCTCCGAGAGCGCACGCTTTCCACACATCCGGCGCCACGCCTCGGCTGCTTCGAGGCACGGCCCCCCGATCCCTCGACCGCTCCCCCGGGGCCAGCTCCTCATCCCAGGCCGTCGTCTGACGATCTCGGGGCCCGGTGGGGGCCCCGAGAGGCCGCAGACTTCGAGAGAGACCCACGTCTCGATGTTGTCGAGACGCCCGATGTCTGGGCCCTCGGAGGCCCGCCCGGGCTGCTCTGATCGGCGCTGGACCCCCCGCCCCCTCGCGGGCGCGCGCTGCGCGACAGTGGCGGCGCCGGAGGCGCTGCCAGGGGGGCCCAGCGCCGATCCAAGAGAGGAGGGCGACGACGGCGAGGACGGGGAGGGATCGTCGAGAGGCGAGGGATGCGGAGGAGGTGGTGGTGGAGGAGGAGGAGGAGGAGGACGAGGTGGAAGAGGAGGAGGAGGAGGAGGAGGAGGAGGAGGAGCAGGAGGGAGGAGGAGCAGGAGGAGGAGGAGGAGAGGAGGAGGAGGAGGAGGTCTCTCCCCTCAGAACGGCCCCAGACGGTAGCCCACGGGAGTCCCACGGCGAGAAACTCCACCGCCCGGACCTCCGCCTCCGAAAGCTTGTGGCTGCACCGTCCTTCCGCCCTCCGAGGCTTGTAGCACGTGTCTCGCTCGGCCTGTGGCGGCCCCCAAACATGAGGTTCGAGCAGCTGGGAGCGGAGGACCGCGCCGCCTCGCAAATATAGCGGAAAGGCTGTCGCAAGGAACCCTCAACAAGGAACGCGGCCCTTTTTCCCATAGGTTGCGCTCCGCCTTCCCAGAGAAAGCCCAAGAAAAAAACTGAAGACAACCTGTAAAGCCGTGAAGGAGCCCCGAGCCCCTCCCCAGCGAGCAGGGCTCCTTCCTCAGTGGCCCGACGATACACCTTGCCGACGCATCGCCGACGCATCGGCAACGCATCCGCAATGCATCGGCGACGCCAGCGCGGAGAACAAGCGGGCTCCCCACCGAGCCACACACCGCCAGTGTTAAGCCGGGCCTGTCCCTCTATAGGAGGAATACTCAAAAAAAAATGTTATAAAGAAAGTCTGGGGACTAGTTTTTGACTATCTACAATTGTTTTTTGAATATGTTTTGACTATTTTTATTTCCGTCCAAAATCCGCCTGTAGGGGGACACGCCCGACTTAACGCAAGTGCTCCGGTGAGGCGGCGCGAGACGCCGACCCCCGTCCGCTCGGACCCCCCCTTTCGGGGGTTGCCTGGAGCCTGGCCCTCCACGGACCAGTCGCGCACGAACTGCCGCAGCGTCGAGGAGACCTTCGAGGCATTGCCGCCGCGAACGTGGTGCCTGGAGGACGAAAAGACGCCATAAACATAAACTTTTGACGCTCCGCGCGGATTTCTTGGATCCGCGCTGGGCCCCCTCGGCGGCGCCTCCGGCGCCGCCTCTGGCGCACGGAGCGCGCCAGGGAGGGGGGTCCAGCGCAGATCCAAGAAGTCCGCGCGGAGCGCCAAAAGTTTGTTTATGGTGTTTTAGCTTCCTCGAGTGCCCGGCGGGGATCTCCGTCGGGATCGTCCCGCCGCCTGGCCGCCGGGACCCCGCCAGGATGGGCCCGGGCAGTGTCTCGAGGGCGGTCCCCACCCAAAGGGGGTCCCTGGCGTCAGGTCGGGCACGTCCTCCCAAGGGCGGATTTTGAAAGGAAAAAAAAACAAATAATCAAGATAGTTGTTTGTTTTTTGTTTATTTGTACATTTACACAATATATATACACACACAAACACTGCAACCACGCGGGCGCTTCGCGCGCTTAGGTTCTAGCTGGGCTTCACGGTCGAACTTTGAAGACCTCTATTTTGTGACCAATCCCTCGGGGGAACCCAAGAACTACGCCAACGGCTCAAGTGACTTCCAAGACCTCCTGAGGCCATTCCGCAGCGACCTAAGAATGGGCCAAGAAATCGTCGTCGTCGTATAGCTGTGCACGTTCGGATCCGCAAGAAGACCTTTCCGGACCCGAGGCCGTCCTATCCGTTTTGAACCATCTTGGGGCCTCGTTTGGGCCTCTTGGGGGTCTCTTGGGGACCTCTTGGGTCCTCTTGGGGGCTTTGGGGGCCTCCTGGGTCTTTGGGCGGACCGCTGCTACTTTCGAGTCGGAATTCCCCTCTTGGACCCCTCCTGGAGCCGTCTTAGTCGGCCGTTGGGCCGTCTGGGCGCCCTTTTGGCTATCTTGGGGGCCTCTTGGGAGCGTCTTCGGTTCGCTTGAGGAAGTCTTGGGGGCCTCTTGGACCGTCTTCAAAGCCGTGAAAGTCCCACAATCGCACATGCTTAACATGCACGTTTCGCCTACAGGAATGTAACGAATTTGGTCCCTAAGGATCCTCTTGGGAATGCTCTTGGAGGCCTTTTGGGACGTATCGAAGCCTTCTTGGACCTTCTTGGGGCCATCTTGGGCAGTCTTGAGCGACTCGGAGCCTTCTTCTGCCTTCTTGGGGCCCGTTTTGGGGCTAAGTTGGGCAATATTTGGCAGCCCTTCGGCCGTCTTGGCCCTCTCGTGGGCTGTCTTGAGGGCCTCTTGGGAATGTCTTAGGCTCTCTTGGGCAAGTCTGGGGAACCTCTTGGGCCGTCTTCAAAACCGTGAAGGCCGACAAGTCGCATATGAAAAACATGTACGTTCCCCCGTATGAATTCAACGATTGTGGCTTCTTGGGGCCGTCTTGGGCGCCGTCTTGGGGCCAACTTGTTCGTTTCAGGCAGCCCTTGGGCCGTCTTGGCGCCCTCTCGGGCTGGCTCGGGGGCCTCTTGGGAACGTCTTGGGCTGCCTTGAGGAAATATTTAGGGCCTCTTGGACCGTCGTGAAAGCCGCGAACGCTGAAAAGTCGTACATGCCAAAAATGAACGTTCCCCCACAGGAATTCAATGATTTGGGCATCTTGGGTCCCTCTGGGGAGTGCTCTGGGAGTACTCCTGGGCCGTATTGGGCAGCTCGGGACCTTGCGCCGTCTTGGGGGCCTCTTGGAACCCTCTTGGCTCGCTTGGCACCCGCTTACCCTCTCCAGGCCGCCTCTGGGGAGCGAAACGGGGGGGGTATCAGCGGGCTTCCCCCGATGGTTGCGGGGTGGGCTGGCCCAGGCCGGGGTGGGGCCTATTTATGTATATGATGTGTATATGGGGCTGTCCTAGACCGTCTTAGGGCGTTCTTGGGCGCCTCTTCGGGCCTTTTGGGGGCTCTTCTAAAAATGCATGCTTTACGAAAGGAATGGGGCCAGTTTTGTCTCCCGGGGCTCTCTTGGAGGGCCTCTTGGAGCCTTCTTGGGGCGTCTTGAGGGCCTCGTGGCCCTTCTGGAAGCCATCTTGGGCCGTATCGGAGCGCTCCTGGGGCCCTCTCGGAGCGACCGGGAAGTCTCTTGGGCCATGTTGGGGAGGCCCGGGGGCCGCCGGAGGAGCGTCCTGGGAGGCCCTCCTGGGCCGTCTTGGGGCTGTCTCAGCCGTCCTGGGGCGTCCTTGGGCGCCTCTTGGGGCTTTTTGACCGCTCCGATGTCCAAGGGAGCTGAGATCCTAAAAATGCACACTTTACTAAAGGAATGGGGCCATTTTGGTTTCCAGGGGCGCTCTTGGGGGGCCTCTTGGCGGCCTCTTGGGGCGGCTTGAGGACCTCTCGGCCCTTCTGGAAGCGATCTTTGGCGGTCTGGAAGCGATCCTGGGGTTCTCTCGGCGCTGTTGGAGCCTTCTTGGGCGGACTGGAACGCGCGGGGGCCGCTGGAGGATCGTCCCGGGAGGGGGCCACTACCTATGTACAAGGGAGGTTCCGGCTCGGGGCCTGGGGCCCGGGAACCCCCAAAACAAAAAACAAATACAGAAAAAGTTCAAAAGTCATCGAACCAAAAAATCGCCACCGAACTTTATTTTTATTCTTCCTGTAGACGGACACATGCCCAACTTCACCTCTGGCGCGTCTGTGCGGGGGCTGGCGGGACGCGCCGGGCGCCGGCGCACCGGAGCGGGCGGAAAAGCAGAGGGAGGCCGTGGAGGCGAAGGGAGGAGGGAGGCGAAGGTGTCGAGGCTCGAGGAGGCGCGCTCCCCTTCCTCCTCCTCCTCCATCCTCCTCCTCCTCCTCCTCCTCTCCTCCGCCTCCTCCTCTGCTCCTCTCCACCTCCTTTCCTCAATCCGCCAGTCACTCCTTCCACACCACACCTCATCCCTCTGCCTCCGTCCTCCTCCACCACCACCTCCTCTCCTCCTCCTCCTCCTCCTCTCCTCTTCCTCCTCCTCCATCCTCGCCTCCTCCTCCTCCTCCTCCTTCGTCCTTTCCTCTCCGTTCCCCTCCGTATCGTCCCCGGCCTCCTCATCCTGTCTCCTCCTCCGCGCCTCCGCTCAGCATCGCAGTCATCCATCATCATCATCAGCCGCATCATCATATCATCATCATCATCATCATCATCATGTCATCATCATCAGTCATGCATAATATATCATCAGTCAGCATTTTTCCCATCATCATCATCCAGTCATCATCATCACCATCATCATCATCATCTCATCATGCAACATCATCATCATCATCATTCAGCATCATCAAGCATCAGTTCATCATCTACATCATCCTCATCATCATCATCATAATTATCATCATCGTCATCATCATCATCATCATCAGCATCATAATCATCATCATCAGCATCAGCATCATCATCATACTAATCAATCATCATCATCCGTCATATCATCATATCATCATCATTAATCAGTGATATCATATCATCATCCATCATCATCATCATCATCCATCAACATGACCATCACACAGCATCATCATCACCCATCATCATCATCTCATCTCATCATCATCATCATCATCATCATCATCATCATCATCATCATCATCATCATCATCATCATCATCATCATCATCATCATCATCATATTATGCCTCCTGGGAGTTCGCAGGCATCCAGCGCCTCGACGGCAAAAAATCGAGGAGGGATCTGTTCGTTCCTCGTTTTCAGCCTCTCGGGGCCCTTCCCGGGCTTCGGGGCCGTCGACAAGCGACTCGCGACGAGAAACCGGTCCCGGGGGAGTGGTCGAAAAGCGCGGGCCCGCGTCTCGAAGAGAGTCGAGGCGCCGGATGCCTGGGTCACCAGCCTTTCCAGGAAGCGGAGCCCCATGAACCCCCCAGAGGCCCCGCAGACTCCCAGAGACGCCCCCAGCGAAAGCCCAGAACCTCCTCGAAGCCTCGATCCTCCTGGGCTGTCGATCACAAGAGGAGGTGGTGACCCCCCTAGTGGTGAGTCCCCTGGCACTGCCCGAACCCAGACCCCCCGTGTCGTGACTTTCTCACAGCGTGCCTCTCTAGAAGTCTGCCTCTCCCTTCCCCAGGACCGCTCTCGTTGCACGAGTCGTTGTCTGACGGTCCCACAGGGCCCGCCGAAGCCCCCCACAGGGGCAAAAAAAACTTCCGTAGTGATTTTCAGTTCGCGACGCGAGGGGGTCTGGGCAATGGATCTCAGAAACCGCTGGTTGTGCGCCACGCAGTGCTCCACCTGTGGACGAGCGCGCTCCACTGCTCGCAGACTAGCTGCTCGCGAATGGCCTGGATCCACCGTGGGGGATTCACGACGCACTGCATAGATGAAGACACGTGTTTTTCAGACGTTTGCGAGTGGGCACTTTGCGAGTAGTGGAACGCGCTCGGAGGACCTGCGCGACCCAGGCGGCGGGGTCCCCCACCCACAGGGCCAGGTCCTCGGCCTGCTGGCAGCGCAGCGCGTGCCGGGCCCACGACACGGCGTGCAGGGTGGCCTCCTGCAGTGGGGGACTGCCAGACTTCGGTCGGGCATGTCTTCCTACAGGGCATTTTGACCTAAAAATCAAAATTACCCTGCGACGTACCCAACCCAATGGCATCAAGTGGCAAGCGGAGTAAGGGGAACATTAGCAGGAACCGTGACAGTGCAGGCGCGGCGATTTGTAGTGCGACCTACATGGGATGCGTAATGTTGCACGACTCACAGAACAGCTATCGATAAGACGAGGAGTATGTATCAGGGTTTGTTAAACAATAGCGGGGGCGGGAACGAGGGACAGGAGAAGGACGAACCCAGCAGGAAGGGGCGAGGAGCCATCGCAGCAGCAGCACCATGAATGCATAAGGTAACAGGAGGACTAGGGCGGCGATGATGAAAGAGGAGGGAGGAAGCAAGAGACTGCTTCGTTTTTGCAGGAGCTCGGTCAACGCATGCCTGCTGCCTGTCCACAGGATCATACCTGTTTATATCTAGTGCAGGAAGCGATCGAGACCTAGCTCGCGCGCCAGCTTCTCTGCCTCCTTCCTGCATGTTGCAGTGCGGGAACTGAACTTCCGCAGTTTCTCCGCAAGGTCTGCCGGTGGGCCGCGGGCAAGAAAGTCAAGGCCGGGGTCGCGCACCATCAGTAGGTTGTCTATCGTCGTCGCCCTGGACAGCATCACGTAGAGGTGCAGCCACAGAGCGTCCAGGTCGTTCGCATCCTTGCACCCTGCGTCAACAATGACTCCGCGGTGCATGGTGCGGCCCTGGCAGGCAGTGGACGTCAGGACCTCGGCGTGGGAGATGACGAAGCCAGTGCGCGTGACCTTGTATTTGCGGAAGTCGAACGGGCTCGAGCTCTGTGGCTCGATGAAGACGAGGCCCGCTGCGTTCGCAGCGTCGATGCTGTCATCGAGCTCCTTGAGCTTCTTTCCGCAGGGACCACCCTTGTACTTGTCCATGCGCACCCACACGCCGTACGGCAGGTACCGCAGGTACGCCCGACCTCCCTCGGCCTTCGCTCTCTCCACCACGCCCTCATCCTTCGGGTTGATGGCCACGTGCACGACCTCGCCCTCGGCGTCCTTGACGAGCCCCTTGTCGAGGTCCAGGTGCTCCAGCAGGCGTATGCGCATGCCCACGTGCAGCGGCAGCATCCCGTGAATGCCGCCCGTGTCGCCAGGGTTGACGTGGTTGACCAGCTTCGCGGCCAGGTCCACGGGCAGCGAGGGCGAGGACTTGTCGGCTGCCTGGACGAGGTAGAGCACCCGCCCGAGGGACGCGGCGTCCCTCCTCGCCCGCATCATCATCCACCGAGCCACGGTGTCCCAGAACCAGGCGATCATGTGTCCAGTCTGGAACCGCTCCTCGCCCAGTCGGGGGTCGTTGGGCTTCATCTGAATGCGTCTCCAGGTCTCCGCGATCTTCTGAGGGACCTTGTCCTTTTTCGGCTTGCGTCAGTGTCGCAGATCGCAGCCCCCCAGGGATGGCGAGGTCTAATCTGAATCTGCGTGGTGCCTCACTCCGCTGGACCCACCAGCAGCCCTCGAAAGTGTGACAGTTTCGCAGATCGCAGCCCCCCAGGGACGGCGAGGTCTAATCTGAATCTGCGTGGTGCCTCACTCCGCTGGACCCACCAGCCGCCCTCGAAAGTGACGACAATTTCGCAGATCGCAAACCCCCAGGGATGGCGAGGTCTAATCTGAATCTGCGTGGTGCCTCACTCCGCTGGACCCACCAGCAGCCCTCGAAAGTCGAGGTCTAATCTGAATCTGCGTGGTGCCTCACTCCGCTGGACCCACCAGCAGCCCTCGAAAATGACGACAGTTTCGCAGATCGCAGCCCCCCAGGGATGGCGAGGTCTAATCTGAATCTGCGTGGTGCCTCACTCCGCTGGACCCACCAGCAGCCCTCGAAAGTGGTGACAGTTTCGCAGGTCGCAGCCCCCCAGGGATGGTGAGGTCTAATCTGAATCTGCGTGGTGCCTCACTCCGCTGGACCCACCAGCAGCCCTCGAAAGTGGCGACAGTTTCACAGATCGCAGCCCCAAAGGGATGACGTAAAAGGCAAGAGAGGAGAGGAGGAGCGAAGAGAGGAGGAGAAGGGAAGCAAGAGAGGAGGAGCGAAGAGAGGAGAAGGGATGCAAGAGAGAAGAGGAGGAGCGAAGAGAGGCGGAGAAGGGAAGCAAGAGAGGAGAGGAAGAGGGAAGAGAGGAGGAGGAGGCGGGAAGGAAGGAAGGTGGAGACCGCAGTGCTCTATTCAAAACGAGTACCCAACGCAGGAGGGTTGGGAAATACCCCGAAAAATCCAAACATACTCGAAAAATCGTCCCTAGACTATGTTTCGACTATTTTCGACCATTCCTCCTGTACAGCGACAGGCCCGACTTCACGCCAGACCCCAGACCCCCTTCGCGTCGTGCAGAAATCGTGCCTCTCGTCGGCCCCGGGCCCAGGGGGCCTGGCAAGGTCCTCCCAGCACGCGAGCGCGTCGGCCGCTGGACGACCAAGGCACAAAGTGCTCGAGGAAGTGGAAGAGAGGGGAAGGAGCCCAGCGTAAGAGGGGCGAAGTCGTCACCGACCACGGCTAGAGACCCCGGGGCCTCCTGCCCCTCGCGACGCCGTGCTCGCTGGAAGGATCAGCAGCGACGACGGAGGACGCGCGAACAGCGGCAGCGGCGGCAGACAACTCGGCCGAGCTGAAGGAGCACGCGGGAGCCGCAGGGCGGGGCGGGGGAAGGGAGGAGGAGCTGAGGGCGGCGGAGCTGAGGGAAGGGAGGGGGAGGAGGAGGGGGAGGAGGAGGAGGAGGGGGAGGAGGAGGAGGAGGAGGAGGAGGAGGAGGAGGAGGAGGAGGAGGAGGAGGAGGAGGAGGAGGAGGAGGAGAGGACAGACGATGGAGGGTAGGGGTGGAGCGCGGAGGGCGGAGACTGGAGGCGGAGCTGACGGGGCGGGCGAAGTGGAGGAAGAGGTGATGGAGAGAAGGCCGTGCAAGGTTAATGAGCCCTGTGATGCTGCACCCGGTGCCCCGCGAGGGAGGCTGGGGCACGGAGGGACTTCGGGGATGCCAGAACTCCCGATGACGCGCACGGAATGCAAGCACAAACGCTGGAGGAGCGCCCCGAAGGTCGACCGCGCTTTGGAGGGGAACGGCGCTGCTGGGGTGGGGAAGGGGATTGCCTTGGAGTCGCGCCGCGCGGCGGGTCCTGGTAGTAGAAGAAGGAATCCACCGGATCCCTTGCTGGGAACAGGCGTAACGCAGAGAGAGCCATTGGGAGGCGAGGAGGAAGCTGAGAGCGAAGGCAGGAGGATAAAAGAACGAGGAGATAAGCAGAGGACGAAAGGAGAAGACGAGAACGAGGACGAGCACGAAGGAGGGGATGGAAAGGGACGGGGAAGGAGAGTTGACGACCGTAGAGAAGGGGGAAGGGGAGGGAGAGGAGAAGGAGGAGGTCGATAGAGAGGTCAGGGAGGAAGAGGGCCGAGAGTGAGAGGATCAGAGGAGGCCAAGGACCCCATGTGGAACTCCACGCCCCAGGACACCTTGAGGAAGATAACGGCGCCAATCGTCCAGAGCTCTGGGCGCATCTCTTGCACGGGACTGCGAAAAAACGCGTCCGGCCAGACCCAAGACAGAAGAACATCCTTCAAGAACATGAGACCCTCCGCCAGCCCAAACTGAAGAACATTCGAGGGTGCCCCCCCCCAAGATGCACAAGAACGTCCAACAAGCACAAAGAATATTAGGGCACCCTCCCCAAGACGGCCTCGATCTGAAACCTCGGGCCAACCGTACTGGATTTCGAGCACTCGGACCGGTCCGCGAAAAGGCGAGGCAAGAGGCACGAGGCAAATCCCTGGTCCGCCCAAGAGGACAGCCGCGCGCGGGGCTGGGAGAGGGCACGGGGGCGCCGACCGCTCCGTCGCCACAACCATGCGTCGCCGCGCCGTTTGTTCTCGACGCGCCCGAGTAGACGTCGACGACACCACAGCAAATCCGCGGCAAACCCTGCGCCCCACGCCCGAAGAGACGAAGCCGGCACCGCGGCAAACCGCACGGCAAACCCACCACGTCAAAGGCGGGGTTTGCCATGGTTTGCCCTGGTGCCCGCGGCGCCCTCCCCCGAGCGGAAGGCCGCGCGTCGGAACAAACGGCGCGGCGACATTTGGGGTGTTCCAAGAACCCTGGAACAACAAAAACGAAGCTCTTGGGAGGGCAACTTTTACTTTCGCCAGCTTCCGCCAACCTTCAGTCAGCCTCTGCCGCGAGGCAACCTCGTTTCACTTGCGCCAGCTTCCGCCGCCCTTTTTCCGACGATGCAGAAATAGTAACCCCTTCGCTCCACGAAGTCCCATCTGATTTCCCGATCCATTCCCACTCCGATGGGCCCCGTGCAAAAGTTAATAACCCAACTGCTGCCCCCCAACCGAAAGAACGAGCGACCGCGCGGAACGTCCCTGGGAAGGGGCGCGGGAAGTGGCGTGGCCCGTCACACGTAGACAGAGAGGACACTCTGGAGTAAAGGCGGAGGAACAGGACGAGCAAGAAGAAGAAGAAGAAGAAGAAGAAGCGGAGAAGGAAGGAATAATGAAAAATTGAGAAGGAGAGAGAAGGAGAAGGGTGAGGAGGAGGAGGAGGAGGAGGAGAAGGCACAACGTTCCCCCCGAAGTCCATCCTCCCCCTGGCGGGCTTCGAAGAGCGACCACTCGCCGCCGCAGCACGCCCGCGTCTAACCACGTTTTCTGGCGGACGCGCTGAAGGAGTCTGATGGACAGACGGTTGAGGCCAGGAGACTGTCAGCCTCCGCGAAAACAATAGGACGGCCGAGACGACCACTCTTGACGGCGACGAGACGATAGTAATGATAAAGAGCAAAAGTGTAAATGCAATCGCCATGCAGCGCAAGCCTGGCCAAGACGGGTGCTGGCAGGTCAGAGCCCAAGGCAGCAGCATCAGCATGGTGGCGGAGGCGAACACAACCGCAGACGTAATGCGAACGTTTGCCGAGGTCGTCGCACCAGAAGACACACTGCTGCGCGATCTACATCCTGCACCCCGTGGCCCAAGCTCCCAGCCACGTTCGGAGGAGGATGGGCGGCCACGAGGGAGGAAGCAAGG